GATGGCCCAAGTGCTTGGGTCCTGCACCTGCATGGAGACCAGGAGGAAGCACCTGGCTCCTGGCTTCAGATTGGCGCAGTGCGCCGGCCGTAGCAGCCATTTGGGGGGTGAACCAGCGGAAGGAAGACCTTTCTCTCTGTCTCTCTCTCAACATCTAACTCTGTCTGTCAAAAAAAATTTTTTTAACAAATCTAATAGTGTAAAATAACAAGCTGGTGATAATAGGCAAGAAAATACTGATGGCCGGCACTGTGGCTCACTTGCCGAATCCTCCGCCTGCAGCGCCAGCACCTAGGGTTCTAGTCACAGTTGGGGTGCCGGGTACTAGTCCTGGTTGCTCCTCTTCCAGTGCAGCTCTCTGTTGTGGCCCAGGAGTGCAGTGAAGGATGGCCCAACTGCTTGGGCCCCTGCACCCACATGGGAGACCAGGAGGAAGCACCCGACTTCTGGCTGCGGCCATTTGGGGGGTGAACCAATGGAAGGAAGACCTTTCTCGCTGTCTCTCTCTCACTGTTTATAACTCTCTCTCTCTGTCTCTCTCTCTCTCTCACTCTAACTCTGCCTGAAGAAAGAAAGAAAGAAAGAAAGAAAGAAAGAAAGAAAGAAAGAAAGAAAGAAAGAAAGAAAGAAAGAAAGAAAGAAAATACTGACAAAGAAGAATGGGAATTGCCGAAGCATATATTAAAATACTACAAAGCAAGAACAATGAAAGCAATGTGACATACTTTAGGAATAAGTGGACATACCAATTAAACAGAACCAAAAATTAGAATCTAGTGTGTGTAAAAGACATTTTATTTCTGTGTTCGTTTCCATAATAAATACTCATTAACTGTGTGGCCAAAAGAACAATAGTTTTATCATTCCACAACTCTGGAGTAGGGAAATTTTAAATCCAGGTGTCAGTAGAGCTATTTTCTCTCTGAAGGCTCAAGGGGAGGATTTTCCTTGCTTCTTTCTGTTTATCAGTAATTGCTGTGTTCATTTTCCTATAAACGCACTACTCCAATTTCTATCTACATAGTAAGATGCCATTCTCAGTGTGTGTCTACGTCCAAGTTTCCCTTTTCTTGTAAAAACACTAGTCATTGGATTAATCTGTAATCTCTAATCCAGAATGACATCTTCCTAACTCAATTACATCTGCAAAGACTATTTTCCAACATATCACATTTACAATTTCCAGCTGAACATAAACCAAGGTACAACAATCAACCCAGTATATTTAGTACATGTACTACTTCTTTAAAAAATATTTATTTATTTGAAAGTCAGAGTTACACAAAGAAAGGGAGAGACAGAGAGATCTTCCATCTGCTGGTTCACTAGGGAGGCAACAACCAGCGCTAGGCCAGGCTGAAGCCAGGAGCCAGGAGATTCATCCAGGTCTCCCACATGGGTGGCAAGGTACCAGGCACTTAGGCCATTTTCCACTGCTTTTCCCAAGCCATTAGTAGGGAGCTGGATTAGAAGTGAAAAAGCCAGGACATGAACCAGAGCCTATATGGGAAGCTGGTGTCCAAGGTAGCAGCTTTACAGGCTACGCCACAATGTCCCAAGCCATGTACTTCTTGAATGCAGATAAATAAACTGATTTAACTACTTAATTCTAGTTAATTCATCCAAAAGCTGAGATTTTACCATGGCTGGAACTAAGAGCTGAAATCATTTTCTAAGTCATTACTTTTCTATTCCTATCATTTAATTGCCCCTGCCTGCCTCTTAGCAATCTTTCTCACATCTACTTTCTTATTTTCTCTGTGCAGGCCTGCTTCTCCATGTACATGGCATCCTCAGTTTCTCTTTAGATGTTTCTGTTACAGAGATTCACAGGAACACCTAACTCTCAATTCCAATTCTAAATTCCCTGGAGAAATGCAGTCAGCACAAACCTGCAGGAAGCAACAGTCAACCTCTCAGGGTAATTTTTAGAGAAATATGATCATCTTAAGCTGGATAGTTTCTTCCCAAAGTTTCTATTATAGGCCAATTTTTTTTAGCTCATAAGGAAAAGGAAAACTCTTCAATAAAATTTACCTGGGGAAGAGAAATTACCAATTTAGCAGGAATGTAAAAAAGCCTTTTTGGGGCCGGCGCCATGGCTCACTTGATTAATCCTCCATCTGTGGCGCCAGCATCCCATATGGGCGCCAGGTTCTAGTCCCGGTTGCTCCTCTTCAAGTTCAGCTCTCTCCTGTGACCCGGGAGGGCAGTGGAGGATGGCCCAAGTGCTTGGGTCCCTGCATCCACATGGGAGGCCAGGAATATGCACCTGGCTCCTGGCTTCGAATCGGTGTAGTACCAGCCATAGCGGCCATTTGGGGAGTGAACCAATGGAAGGAAGACTTCTCTCTCTCTCTCTCTCTCTCTCTCTCTCTCTCTCTCTCTCTCTCCATAACTCTACCTGTCAAATAAAAAAGCGTTTTCACCCATCATATATCAAAGTAAGGGGGAAATTAGATATTAATGTAAAAAATCTTCAAAAATACAGGGAAGAAAGGGAAATTATATTATTCTACACATTTTTGTGAAGTGTTGAATCATTCCTCCAGTGTGATAGTATATATAGGTTAGGTATTTATTAAAATGTTAGTTGCAGATTACTTTGAGGTCATAAAATGGAAATTTGCTACCAAAAACAATTTTGGCTAATTTGCAATGCTCAATTTTTTGAAAGATTTTCAAATATTATTTGGAGAGGTATCCATATTACTCTAAATAGAGTTAATGTTTTCCAAGTTGATTACTTTGAAAGAGTTTGAAGTTATTCAATTCTGTAAATATCAGTAAAGGTCTTTTTAAAATGAAACATAAAATAGAATGTAGTAACCTTATTCTCATATTGACTTATCTCAGTGTTTGTTTGTTGAGTCTCTGCTATTATTTATGGCCTTATTCAGTAACTCTATAATGCTAAAAGAAATTGCTTCTTCATTCAAATGAGATTGTCCTTGAAAAATCTAGATTACCTTCACTTAATGCAGAAGCTATTTCATGCCCTTATTATAATAAAATCTCAATTATAATTTTCAGAAGATGAGATCATTATTATTAACATTGTTTCTAATTAAATAAGAGTACCTTAAAATACTTTTGGATTAGCCTTCATTGTTCAAGCAATTTAAGAAATGCATTACTCTATCTTCTTAACACAAGTTGAGTAAAATGAACAGAATTACATATTTCTTTGATTATTTAGAATTCTCCAGCCCAGGGTACATAGAAAGTATTCAAGAGTGAATAAGTGATTCAATAGGCTAATTTCCCGAAGATTTACTGTAAACATTAATTTGCATTGACAAGTGTTTTAGCTAGAGCTTCACTGAATAAATCTATCTTATTCCTACAACCTTTCCCTACAACTTACTTTTAAAAAATAGTTTATATGAGCATATTTTTCTCATAATATTTCCATTTCCTACTAGTTCAGAGCAGAAAATTCCAATTAAGTTTAAGTTTTAGGGTTTTTTTGCATTCCATTAATTAATGCTTTATGGTTTTGAATTTATTTTTCTACATTTGAGCCTGATCCCATTAAATAATTCCAGTAGGGATCAACTTTCTTCTTCAACTTGAAAGGTCTACATTAATGGATGTGAAAATATGCAGCAAAAAAAAATAATAATAATATAATACAAAAGCTACTATTAAAATATCACTAATTGGGGCAGACACTGTGGTGCATTAGGTTAATCCTCTGCCTGTGGCACCAGGATCCCATATGGGCACTGGTTCTAGTCCTGGCTGCTCCTCTTTCAATCCAGCTCTCTACTATGGCCCCGGGAAAGCAGTGGAAGATGACTCAACTGCTTGGGCCCCTGCAGCCACTTGGGAGACTCCAAAGAAGCACCTGGCTCCAGGCTTCAGATCAGAGCAGCTCTGGCCATAGCAATTTGGGGATTGAACCAGCAGAAAGAAGACCTTTCTCTTTGTCTCTCCTTCTCACCATCTGTAACTCTACCTCTCAAATAAATAAAATCTTTAAAAATAAATAATTAATACTGGAGTCCAGTGCTTTCTATTCATTATTTCATTTAATCATCAAAACCATGCTGTGGGATAAATATTATTATCTCCATAAATAAAATGAAGATTAAGATCAAAGCCCTAAATGTCTCAACCATAAATGCAACGTTGGAAATGAATGGTGAGTTTATTTATGGATGTCTACTCCTCTCTATACTCGGTGTTCTAAGATCAATCTAATGGGAGAAATATTGAGAGCCAATCATTGCCTGATCTATAAAGTTCATACACAAAGACACCATAATACAACCATCAGCGTGTCAAACTACAAGAATAAGTGAATCAGAAATCCATTTTAAAGGCATAAGTTTACACTTCTATAGAAAGTTTGTGGTTATGAAAAATGGATATTCTCTGGGGATTTATCACACTGTAATGAGCAGGCTTTTAGCTCTCTAGATTCAAATATCAAAACTAAAAACACAAGAAACCAGAGGATGTGTAAGACATTCTCACACAACACATTCCTGGCTTCTGATAGTAAGGAAAGAATTCCTAGTCAAACAACTTCTCATTTTTCAACAAAGCAGCTTTTGATTCTATGAAGAGCAAAATAACACCCCCTTCCTACTGTGATATAATTGAGCCAACAAAGAGATATGCATTTTTACATGTTTTCTTCTCAGGGTCAACTGAACAAATTCTCCAAGAAGCAAGTAAGTTACTGAATTTACAAACTTCTCTACAATCTATGTTAATCTAACATTTTGAAATCTTATTGTATTTTGCTATTTCACCCATTTATTACCACTATATTAATTTTGGAGGCAACTGTCATATTCTATTTTCACCCAATAAATCAGAAAGAAAGGATTAAATATCTTATGCATAGCAATTAACAAAGATTTTGATCTTTTCCAAAATCACTCAGAAACAACCAGTACAGTACAATGATAAAATACACTTGACTACCTATGGGGAGAGCAAGGTCGCCCATCGCGTGGAAGCCAAGCCGCGGGAGCCGCAGGACCCACCTGAGCTGCAGAGTCTGCATGCCAGCACTGGAAGGGGAGGTGAGACAAAAAACCTCTCAGTAACCTGAGACATTGGCGGGGAAAGGCAGAAAGAGCCTGCAGAGAACGAGGCCTGAAACTCCATTGGGGAAAGTTCACCAGGCTGCCTGGAGGAGAGAAAAAAATCGAATAAATAAGGGGAACCAGCACGGACATTTAGCCTCTCTCTCCACTCACCTCTTACAAACCCGAGCAAGACAAAAGGCAGGCGCCATTTTACGTAAGTAAAGCAGTGTGCGCCATTTTGCATATGTAAAGCGGGTGCCCCTCATTAGCCAAGCAGAAAAACCTGACTCTGGTAAGCAAACGAATACCCACAGGGGCCAGATTTCATACATCAACTACTCTCAGCTGTGTGGAATTACTTCCCAACTGAGTCAAAAAAAAAAAAAGAGAGAGAGAGAGAGAGAGAGAGCGAGCAATAGAACAATCAGGGTGAATCACCTTTGGCACACCCTTTACCCTGTAGAACCAGAGCTCTCTGGCCACACCCATCACAGCCTCTAAGGATCCATCAACAGCAAACAGTCCTCTTAATGTAGAGACACAGTATAACGAGAAAAAAAAAAAAGAATATCTCCAATATGCCAAACAAACGCAAAAGCCGAGGTAACAAGAACAAAGAAGACACTATGACGCCCCCAAATGAAAAGACACCCCAATTCAAGATTATGAAGATGATGAGATAGAAGAAATGCAAGAAGCAGATCTCAAAAAATTGATAAGAACATTAAGAAGTTCTAAAAAACAAATTCTTGAACTACAGAAATCCTTAATTGACAAGATAGGAAATCTCTCGTGAAAATGAAATTTTAAGGAGGAATCAAAATGGAATGAAACAAGTAGTAGAAAATGAAACTGTGATAATGATGAGAAATCATAATGAAGTGAAGAATTCAATAGATCAAATAAAAAACACATTAGAGAGCCTTAAAAACAGAATGGGTGAAGCAGAAGAGAGAATATCAGACTTAGAAGACAGAGGACAGGAAAATATACAATCAAACCAAAGAAAAGAAGAGGAAATTAGAAATCTAAAAAATATTGTCAGGAATCTTCAGGATACTATTAAAAAAACCAACATTCGGGTTCTAGGAGTTCCTGAAGGCATGGAGAAGGAGAAAGGATTAGAAGGCCTTTTTTTTTCCCAGGCTTGGAAAAGGACAGAGACATCCTAGTACAGGAAGCTCATAGAACCCCTAGTAAACATGACCAAAAGAGATCCTCACCACGACACATTGTAATTAAACTCACCACAGTGAAACATAAAGAAAAGATCCTAAAATGTGCAAGAGAGAAACGTCAGATTACTCTCAGAGGATCTCCAATCAGACTCACAGCTGACTTCTCATCAGAAACCCTATAAGCTAGGAGGCAATGGCGAGATAGAGCCCAGGTACTAAGAGAGAAAAACTGCCAGCCCAGAATATTATATCCTGCAAAGCTATCATTTGTGAATGAAGGTGAAATAAAGACTTTTCAAAACAAACAGAAATCGAAAGAATTTGTTGCCACTCGTCCAGCCCTGCAAAAGATGCTTAAAGATGTGCTACACACAGAAACATAGAAACACAGTCATCAATATGAAAGAAGGTAAAGGAAGGAAACCTCACAGCAAAAGATCACAGGAAGTTCAAAACATATATCAGAAAATATCTTTGGCAAATGGCAGGGCAAAGCTACTACTTATCAATAGTCACATTGAACGTTAATGGCCTGAACTGTCCAGTTAAAAGAAACAGATTGGCTGATTGGGTAAAGGAACAAAACCCATCTATTTGCTGCTTACAAGAAACACATCTTTCCAATAAAGATCCATACAGACTGAAAGTGAAAGGCTGGAAAAACATATACATTGCCAACAGAAATGAAAAAAGAGTGGGTGTAGCCATCTTAATATAGGACAACATAAACTTTACCACAAAAACTGTTAGGAGAGACAAAGAGGGGCACTATATAATGATTAAGGGATCAATTCAAAAGGAAGATATAATGATTATCAATGTATATGCACCTAATTACAGGGAACCGGTTTATTTAAAAGATTTGTTAAGGGACTTAAAGGGAGACTTAGACCCCAATACAATAGTACTGGGAGACTTCAATACTCCACTCTCAGAAATAGACAGATCAACAAGACAGAAGATCAACAAGGAGACAGTAGATTTAATCGACACTAAGGCCCACATGGATCTAACAGATATCTACAGAACTTTTCATCCTACACTTAAAGAATTTACATTCTTCTCAGCAGTACATGGAACCTTCTCTAGGATTGACCACATATTAGGCCATAAAGCAAGTCTCAGTAAATTCAAAAGAATTAGAATCATACCATGCAGCTTCTCAGACCATAAAGGAATGAAGCTGGAAATTAGCAACTCAGGAATCCCTAGAGCATATGCAAACACATGGAGATTGAACAACATGCTCCTGAATGAACAATGGGTCATAGAAGAAATTAAAAGAGAAATCAACAATTTTCTGGAAGTAAATGAGGATAACAGCACAACATACCAAAACTTATGGGATACAGCAAAAGTAGTGTTAAGAGAAAAGATTATATCAATAGGTGCCTACATCAAGAAATTGGAAAGGCACCAAATAAATGAGCTATCAATGCATCTCAAGGATCTAGAAATTGCAGCAAATCAGACCCAAAACTAGTAGCAGAAGAGAAATAATTAAAATTAGAGAAGAAATCAACAGGATTGAATCCAAAAAAAAATTACAAAAAATCAGCCAAACGAGGAGCTGGTTTTTTGAAAAAAATAAACAAAATTGACACCCCATTGGCCCAACTAACTAAAAAAAGAAGAGAAAATACCCAAATCAATAAAATCAGAGATGAAAAAGGAAATGTAACAACAGACACCACAGAAATAAAAAGAATCATCAGAAATTACTACAAGGACCTGTATGCCAGCAAACAGGGAAATCTATCAGAAATGGATAGATTCCTGGACACATGCAACCTACCTAAATTGAACCATGATACATAGAAAACCTAAACAGACCCATAACTGAGACAGAAATTGAAACAGTAATAAAGGCCCTCCCAACAAAGAAAAGCCCAGGACCACATGGATTCACTGCTGATTTCTACCAGATATTTAAAGAAGAACTAACTCCAATTCTTCTCAAACTATTCAGAACAATCGAAAAAGAGGGAATCCTCCCAAATTCTTTCTATGAAGCCAGCATCACCTTAATTCCTAAGCCGGAAAAAGATGCAGCATTGAAAGAGAATTACAGACCAATATCCCTGATGAACATAAATGCAAAAGCCTCCATAAAATTCTCGCCAATAGAATGCAACAACACATCAGAAAGATCATCCATCCAGACCAAGTGGGATGTATCACTAGTATGCAGGGATGGTTCAACATTCACAAATCAATCAATGTGATACACCACATTAACAGACTGCAGAAGAAAAACCATATGATTATCTCAATAGACGCAGAGAAAGCATTTGATAAAATACAACACCCGTTCATGATGAAAACTCTAAGCAAACTGGGTATGGAAGGAACATTCCTCAATACAATCAAAGCAATTTATGAAAAACCCACGGCCAGCATCCTATTGAATGGGGAAAAGTTGGAAGCATTTCCACTGAGATCTGGTACCAGACAGGGATGCCCCCTCTCACCACTGCTATTCAATATAGTTCTGGAAGTTCTAGCCAGAGCTATTAGGCAAGAAAAAGAAATTAAAGGGATACAAATTGGGAAGGAAGAACTCAAACTATCCCTCTTTGCAGATGATATGATTCTTTACTTAGGGGACCCAAAGAACTCTACTAAGAGACTATTGGAACTCATAGAAGAGTTTGCCAAAGTAGCAGGATATAAAATCAATGCACAAAAATCAACAGCCTTCGTATACACAGGCAATACCATGGCTGAGAAAGAACTTCTAAGATCAATCCCATTCACAATAGCTACAAAAACAATCAAATACCTTGGAATAAACTTAACCAAAACGTTAAAGATCTCTACGATGAAAATTACAAAACCTTAAAGAAAGAAATAAAAGAGGATACCAAAAAATGGAAAAAACTTCTATGCTCATGGATTGGAAGAATCAATATCAACAAAATGTTCATTCTCCCAAAAGCAATTTACAGATTCAATACGATACCAATCAAGATACCGAAGACCTTCTTCTCAGATCTGGAAAAAACGATGCTGAAATTCATATGGAGACACAGGAGACCTCGAATAGCTAAAGCAATCTTGTACAACAAAAACAAAGCCGGAGGCATCACAATACCAGATTTCAGGACATACTACAGGGCAGTTGTTATCAAAACAGCATGGTACTGGTACAGAAACAGATGGATAGACCACTGGAACAGAATAGAAACACCAGAAATCAATCCAAACATCTATAGCCAACTCACATTTGATCAAGGATCTAAAACTAATCCCTGGAGTAAGGACAGTCTATTCAATAAATGGTGCTGGGAAAACTGGATTTCCATGTGCAGAATCATGAAGCAAGACCCCTACCTTTCACCTTACATAAAAATTCACTCAACATGGATTAAAGACTTAAATCTACGACCCGACACCATCAAATTACTAGAGAACATTGGAAAAACCCTGCAAGACATAGGTACTGGCAAAGACTTCTTGGAAAATACCGAAGAAGCACAGGCAGTCAAAACCAAAATTAACATTTGGGATTGCATCAAATAGAGAAGTTTCTGTACTGAAACAGAAACAGTCAGGAAAGTGAAGAGGCAACCGACAGAATGGGAAAAAATATTTGCAAACTATGCAATAGATAAAGGGTTGATAACCAGAATCTACAAAGAAATCAAGAAACTCCACAACAACAAAACAAACAACCCAATTAAGAGATGGGCCAAGGAACTCAATAGACATTTTTCAAAAGAAGAAATCCCAATGGCCAACAGACACATGAAAAAATGTTCAAGATCACTGGCAATTAGGGAAATGCAAATCAAAACTACAATGAGTTTTCACCTCACCCCAGTTAGAATGGCTCACATTCAGAAATCTTCCAACAATAGTTGCTGGAGAGGATGTGGGAAAAAAGGGACACTAACCCACTGTTGGTGGGAATGCAAACTGGT